CTATCTCCCAAATCATGGTATAACAAATGGTAGATATGTTCGTTGCGATTAAATGCAGAATCTTAGTGTATCGAAGCTTAACTGGTATAAACAAGATTCACCTCTGCGAAAACCCAATTCCGTTCTGCAACACAATAAGAGATTTGGGTATTCATTAGCCAAGCACCTTAAATTTCGGGGAGCAAATCAAATTCACGGCAGCTACAGCCGGCCAATCAGCGATGCTACTTTTTAAATCCCTGGCATTGCTTGACATTGAGGTTCATATTTTGAAGACCTCAGGAAGCCCTACCGCTGAAATATGTTCAATAATATTTACCAGTTTTAGAAACGCGGTCGTTTATGCAAGAAGAACTTTCAGCGTCCGTTTACCAAAGCTCTATTTAGTGAATCTCCAAAGGCAACCTATTTGGAGCGCTTCATACTGTTTAACAATGTTTCATGGTAAATTGTCCGCAGATTCTCCACTTTTATATAGCCCAATTGGTATTATACTAGGCGAAAAATAAACCGAAAAAGTCCTTGCTTTCGGTTCCATCGGGCAAACAAATAGATGGTAGCTGCAACTGTTTGTTGGTGATGTTTCCACATGTTGGATCAAAATAGTATCACAATGGTCTGTCAAGTGGCGACCACTTCATTGAAAGTTTCTAATGGGCCAAATATTCATGTGAAAATTTTGAACGACAAAAAGGACAAAAACAAGAAAGAGCGTGATTGTGCATAAAGTTATTTAATGTAAAATGCGTTTGAATATCTTGTTTAACTTATACCCGTTTAGATATGATTTATTATTGAAATTCGAATAAAACTTTTTCAACACTCAGTTTATTGATAAAGAAATCTTTGCTAGGATGCTCTGATTAAGCAAACAAACAACCTACGTGTTTAAGCCAAGATAACTGCTAGCGAGCTTGCTGATTTGGGTGCTTAAACGCAACACATAATGCTTCAAATTAATTGTGTGATATAAAGACATAAGGATTCTTATCGATAAATTTGCTTGAACACCGAATTTAACTACAATGTTTTGTCGAGATCAAGCAATTTAACCACTGCCCTATAGTGGCTAAAACAACTTTTACTTTTCACGACCAATCATTTTGGCATTTACTTTTTGCCAACTGTAACTTTGTTGCTTTTGATTACAAGGTTTAGGTAAGTAGTAAACTGTGGATGAATTTTAATTTTAAATTCTAATTAGCACTGGTATAAACGCTAGCTCTCTCTGACAAAAATGGGACACGTAATAGATTTTAATCAAATGTATATTTCAGTAAATAAAAATTTTAATTTTATCAATGGAAATTTATCTGGTAAAGCCTATCCGACGCAAAACGGCATTGTGCCAAATTATTATTTACGCACATGGAATACTGTTGAAAGAAAAGCAGCAACATCCATTACGCTCTCAGTAATACAAACGGGATAGCTAGTGTTCAAAACATCACATCGTACAGCATTGCGTTAAGAGAATTCTGCATCTAGCGCATAAACCATGAAACATGGAATAAGCTTAAACCAACTAACATTAGCTATACTAGGCATAACTGTTTGAATGCCAGTTTTGTAAAGTAAATGACTGATAATATTTTCTCACTATAAACATTTGGAACTTTTGTTTAAAAGCCAAATGCCAACAATGAGTGCTGACTGAATGCCAAACTGCTTTTGAGTCATACAAGTATGCATCCTCAAATAAAGAAGACAGATTCTGTCAGTGAGTTAAGGATTCATGGAATATACTGCTTTGCTGATTGTCTAGGATTGAGACCAAAATAGTCGCTATTCTACTGTCGCCGATTGCTCTATCATGAAGCGGTTGTGGTGGGACTTCAAAAAGGAACATAGTTTAAGTTCAGTTTGTATCGTAACTTGAGGAATCATCTTACCAATCCGAATAAATAACGCAGCTATAATTTAACTTCTGCTAGTATGTGATTCCTTATTTAACAATCTTGCTACATGAAGATTGTTTTGTATTTGGCACTCCTTCCAAGGATAGAAGCAACTAACTGGGAAAGAAATGTGACTTGATTAAGAGAAGTGCAATAATTTAAAAATGAAATTGCGAACGTATTTCTACTTTCTAATGTGACTTGATCGCATTGATTTTTAGCTCTAGTTATAATATTATTGTGAGCACTATTTAAGGCAATAAGTTAAATGTAATTGTGTTGTGGAACTACCTAGCGGTTTCATCCAACTCTGATTAATGGAACTCACAACATAGTAATTTTGATTTCTGGACCGCACATAAATGATCAGTGTGATATTCTTAAGTGAAGTTATTTGATAATGCATTTTCTCTCCATAACGCAGCAAACTTTTAACGGCCACCCTACAAGACAATTCCATTTTTTGTGAGAGTAACCATATTTCTCGGGGGCCATCAAATATATAGAAGAAAGGATCAATGATCTTAAGTAAGCACAATGGGAATATTGTAATACACGAGAAAGGTCTACGGTAAATAGTAGGATGTCAGGAAACATGATTCTTCGTTATAATAAATATTTGTGTTTTTTGTTATCGATCGCATTGGCATAATTTATTGTAGCTCCTAGCTACCACCTATAGGTTCAGTTAAAAAGAAGACCCAAATGTACAAACGTATCAGCTGCGACAAATGGCAGAATCACTCGAATTCGCCGTTATCATGCACTTAGAGTCTTAGGTCCGACGAATGATTTGGTTGAAAACAATATAAATAAATGATGTGAATATGAATTTTAACCTAGACTAGGCTGTCTCGTTTTAGTACCCATTTTTTGTGGAACCTTTGAAGCTGGAGTGCATCACATGTTTTCAGTAAAGCATAATCAAGTCTTTAGCTTTTAGGAAGTAATGAAATAACCAAATAAGCTTTCATTAGACATCTTATGAAGAACGAAAAACCGCCGTTACCATAACTACTCCTTTGTAAATATACGCGAAAATATACATCGGAAAGCAAAGCCCGATCCATTGTTTTTTCATATTGAGAAAAAAGCAAGCGTTTAGTCAGATAATTTATCTTGCGTCTAAAATATTAGCCAAGTAATTCAACAATCTCTATTTTAGTTGAGTAAGCAAGCGCACGTGACTGAAAACCTGGCTATTTTAGAAAAGAGCAGGAGGAACTTACATCTTTGTGGAAAAATATTTGTGTCCTTTGGTCTAGCATAACCCAATCCACTTTGGTGAGGATATAGCATTCCCTACCTAGATCTTCCTACCTATATAATAGGCTAGTAAGGACAAACTCCCAGAATAGCACATGAGTTCTTTAGGCGAACACCAACATTCCTACTCGATGAAACAAATGGGTCTTTGTCCACCATGAGTGATTTGAGCATTCAGTGAAAGCAGTGTTGTCACACATCCCTTAGATAGAATGTACGGTTATGCTAGTGGCTTAGTCATCACACTTTATGATCTTAAACAGTTACTTGGTTTCATATAGTATAAACATTGTGCATTCCATTATTTTCAATGTTACCATTCTTTGCTACACTGTCAAACAGTGCTACGGATGTAATCCTGAAAGTAAGCAATATATTTTTACCACAATGCTAGTGCTGCATTCATCTCGGGTTTCATAACACACAAATCCGTGAACATATGGGCACCAAGTTTATTCACAGTAAACATCAAGTTTTGACTATTCAGCGACGAGAAACAGTTAAAAGTACATCCCATCATTTGATGCAGCCCAACATCAGGTTATAATGCACGTCAGTTCACAAATTTTAACAAAGAACTTACTAAATAATCGGTTTACTCCCACATATTTTCCAAATGTGAAGAAAAATTGCGAAAATTAGCTTCAATAAAACCTCTTATTAACAGGGTGCACATTTAGTGTATATTATACTTTTCTTACACATAGCTCATTCATGAGACATTTTTGACAACCTACCTACTTGTATGCTAATTTCGGCTGCGCGACTGTCTCTATATTCGCTGCACTGGCTTAACAGCTTAATGGTAACAAACAACAAAATTACCAGATATACCACTGTTCAATCCCTTTAAAAGTGTTTTAAAATCATAGGATAGGTAATAATAATGAAGGCCGTGAACACGCAGGTTGGCCATCCCGATGCCAAATATTACCAGTGAACAAAACATTCAAAATCTTATGTTGAGCAATTCTCACTTGCTTGGCAATGCAACTATTCCTACTCAAATTATATGCCGGATGGCTATCTTCGTCTGAGTTACGCCGGAACTACCAGGCCAGCCATACGTGTGGGAAATGTATAAAGTGCTCTATAACCAGACGCCTAACTCTGTTGCCATTATTCTAAGATGCATACGGTGGGCGGACTAATAATTTTTATCGATGTAGTAAGTGCGAGTAAGATGTAGATGGGATGTAATTACTTCGCCTTGAAGATTGTGTTATGGTCATCAGTTTGGAAAAGCAAAGTTGCAAGACATGATACCGTGAGGCTGACATTGGAAATTATATTACGCGTTTGACTTTTCATACATATTCAGCGCAGCTAAAATGCGTTGGAAAGAACCTTTAATCGTACAAAATACATTAGTTTTGATCAATATACACATGAGCACAAATATTAATGGATCGGAACCTGTTCCTTCAATTAGTCCTTTGTATATACAGCACCAGATAAATGAAAAGTAGAGATGAACTCAGGATTCCAGTAAAAATGTTCGCATCAAATTGTGCTGAAAATTTGGAATAATAAAGCAAAACCTTTTGCTTTTGGAAAAAATACGCTACAAAAGCAAATGAAGGATACATGGCTTAAAGGACGGTGTTCGTTTAATATACGTTACCGAACAGATACCATGAACAATTTGACCAAGGTAACTTATATAAACAACTCTCTGTTTACCCGAATTATTTTTACCATTACATGAGTTGAGCTGTATTTAAGCGTTTTGTATGGAGCTTTCAGCATTGTCATACAACATCTTTCAAAACGAATACTCACCAAAGAGCACATTCTTTAGTTACAAATGTATCCTTTTTATATCTCACGTTTTAGCTTTGTTCCGTCTTTCTTTTTGAAAAATATATCGCCGACAAACTGCACAAGCCAAGAAGACGAGAAATTGTGACAAACATGCTGAAAAGAGAGGTGAACTTACTGACGCAACTAAACCATCCAAATCTGCTCCATGTTGTTTACCCAGTAGTGGAAACTAGGTAAGTAGTTATTCAGTGAAAATTTAAATAGGGAATATTTGCCTACTGTAAACGTTCAATTGTGCATTTTACTACAGCTTGCAATATTTACGTCTAGCAAATGATTGCATATAAACCTGGAACAAAGTGTATCTCATTTTGTAGCTATTAGTACCAAAGATGTATGTAGCCACTCCAACGACCGTCTAGTGCACAACTTGAGCACGTTGTTTTTATGTGGTCAATTCAATTGTATACCGCGGCGATTACATAAGATGGACACGATTCACGCCATATATATATATATATTTGCATCATTCGCCGCCACCCGTTTGCAAACCAGTTTACTGAGTTATCCCGGCAAAATGACTATTTTTCGATCAGCAGGAAATATGTGATCCCCATTTTACAGCAGATAACTTTTCCATGAGTGGAGTCAGCTTATACTAATATCTGTTCCACAAGGCTCCCGCTTAACTTAGTCATTAACAATCCTCTCTTCTCTTCATACCTATTTCTAATCGGTTAGGCGTAGATATACTAAGCAATTGCGTCACTTTTCCTTATATGATTGCCTGCTCTAAAATTAGAATGTAAAGGATTATCGCATCATAACTTAGTTTGCACGCGTCAGATCAATTCAAACAAATTTCCGCACGAAAAGTCTGCTAGCATCCGGGTAGACCAACATTATAACAATGCTATTCCTATCAACTCATTGATTTACATTTATGTTCGCAGACTTTAATTGAGGATAATAGAAAAATCCCTTTCCAATTTAGGAATAATATATAAATAAATTTTCGTTTACGATCATAATCATATTGTCGGAAAGATCGAATACGTTAATATATTGTTCATATTTATTGTAATTTGTTAGCAACGAAAACAAAATTCAAGTTTGCAAGTAATCGTGCATCGGTAAAGTTTTCATGGTAATGGATATGGCTGAAATGTACAACGTTATGCTCACTGCCGTTCTAATTGTGACATGTTTATAGAACAAACCCTACCATTACGCAGAAAGTTCTCTAACGGCAGGTTAAGTTTGTATTATTGTCTCAAGATATCTAAAATTACCCTTCGCATTTCAGCGAAAATATTGCTTTCGCATCGGAGCACGTGATGCTCAGTTTAGCTAATTATTTTGGAAATCACACCAGGATGCCGCAGCCACTTCCCGAGGATGTACAAGTACGTAATTTGTTCGTATTAAGCATTTCTTCTCAAGGATACCTCTTTACTACTACAATCTAAAAACTTTATGGGTTATTTAGTGTATTATGGGAGCTGAATGTATAGGAAGGCACACATCAAACTGGACTAAGTAGGACAGTTAGTATTAGTCCGAAATCCACTGTACATGTGTTCGAGCATTAATGTTATAACCAGAAATGCACAAGCCCGTTGCTCTATTTGGGGCTCGAACCTTCAAATCTACTGTTGTCAACCTATGGCCAAGAACACTGAGCTACTTGGGATGGCAACGACTGTCGTGATTAAGTCGTTAAGTGTGATAAAGCGCTCCTCACTACACAATGATATACATGTTATTGTCATGCAGAGAACAGAGTAGCACGCTCTCGGGCGCAGGATGATAACAATCGGGTCTCGTGTTCGAACTCCACAATGGTTTGATTTGATGCATTCTAATGAAAGGGATTACCGAGCCGCACGATTTTTACACCAACAAAGGTTGAAAAAATTTTCTGTACAATTATCGTGCTAAAATTGTACATCATTTATGAAGACAGTTTTGAAGAGTTTTCCCTAAGCATACTACTTCTGTGCCTTAGAATTACTGATTTAATATCTACCCTGTAATGAAATGATTACATTCCTATACAAGTGTTGCTGCCGATACAAAACCTTTCCTAGTTTAATGAAATATGTCAGGGCTACCAAGCTAGTAGTTAAAAAATTAGAACTAATAATTATGCTGGACATTTGCCAAACGTACATAAAATCTGAGAAAATATGCAGTGTAATGTAATACAATAAAATATAATAAAATATAACGTAATATTATAATAAGTAACGCAATAAAATATAATGCGATAAAGTGAATAACATGTGTGGGTATACGCTTGTACTTTAGAATGTGAGTGGTTCCCCGATTTTAAGTTTTTCTGCGAGAACCACAGGTTATGTACAATTTATGTAGCCATTTAAAAAATTCCCATTAACTCCAACTTTTTTCGCCATTACAATCGAGTGGTTTTATAGTACCATTCGCTAAAACTTGGAATGAATTATCTGCTTTTGAACGAAATCGAAGAGTTGAATTGTCTGTACAAGTTTTGCAGTTTTGGTAAACTTGGCAGAATTGGAGCAGCTCTAATATTGCAGTGAATTTTGTATGTGTAAGCCACGCAAAAATAAGGTATCTAAAAGAAATGAATTTAACCATATGTTTAAAAATATTTGTCTTTGTCATTAGAATTTCCAACTGGACGAACTTGATCGTAAAATGGGCCTATACCAGGTAAGGGAAAGCACACTATTATACATGCTCTTACAGGTATGTGTAAGATTTTGTATTTCGAAACCAACTTTAAGATGGTTAATCACCTTCAAATAAGGAAAAATCTTTCTAAAAAATAAACAATTTAAGACGCCGCCAAATAAAAGAAACCGATAACCTCCAAAATTCAATCATCACTCAACATATTTACTTCGAATTAAATTTATGCCAAATTACTGCATTGTACATTTAGAAGATATATGTATATACATTTATTTTGATGTTTCACTGTATATTCCTTAGGTTTAACAGTAATGTGTAATCTAAAATGTCAATAAAGCAACCCTGCATTTTAATGCTTATGTAACGATACTTGCTAATAAACGTTAAATGATAATTGAAGCATCCATACTCAATAACCGAGTGAATGGCTTAGAAATTTCATGCTGTTAGGAGCTGAAATATCAAAAAATATTGATTTAAGTCAGTTGGGTCTTGCTGTGTATTGGAAGATAATCGGTGACGAGTACCCAATAATGTGTTCTGGTTATTGCCTCAAGTGTCTATTTTAAACCGGAAACCATCCGACGGCAATCATTAATAGACTGTGCTCCGTAGAATATGTGTGAACTACATGCATTTTAGATACGTGAGACAGGACCATATTCAGTAATGCCACGACGTCCAAGTTATTTGTGCTATCCGTTTAGTCTGATAATATAGGTTGCTCTTTTATGTATTTGCTAACGTGAGAAAGTAAAATGCCATGGGTCGCTTTTAGAAGATGAATACCATAAACCGAACAGTTTACCTTATGTGTTCATATAGATCCTCGTGGTGTGGCCCAAAGATAGGTGTTGTCATGACAATTAATTCTCCCGGGACTTTGCTGTCAAGTGATAGTAACTATACCATTTCTCACTTGCTCACATCCTTAACACAATCGCTTACATCCTTAAGGCAATCACTTACATCCTTAGTGCAGAAGCTATCATTCTTAGTGCAGAAGCTTTCTTCCCTAACGCAATGGCTATCATCATCCGATAATCATCCACGTTGCATCCACATAGCACTGCGTGGGCAGAGGCTATCTGCCAAAAGAATTCGGTACAGCGTAGCGACTGAAAACAGTTACACGCAGAATAATCACGCTTTCGGAGCTGGGTAGGAAAACCGTGAGACTTGTGTGAGACTAGCGTGGTCCAACTCGAATGGACGACAGTTGGGACTTTACTAAACGGAGCTCAGCCGGTGCACAGTGCGCCACGCCCCCTCACTGGACAATGGTGGCGTCTGAGACATTCATCGGAGCGCGCACAGTCCCTGAGGGAAGGGAAACTCGTGGGCTCAGAGCACCGGGTATAAGCCTGAAGTGCAGTCAAGCACCCTATGTAAGTGAGCATAGGAGATATCTGGCGCTAGGGCGTAATTCATGCACACAGGACAACAGTGCACAAAGTTAGCTTGGTAGTAAAAGGTGCTCTAAATAAGAGGCGAAGATAGGTTGTCTCATTTTGGTAGGTATTCGGTCGGATAGTTCGGTCGGATAGTTGAAGACGCAGTAGAAGCTACCATTTGACCTCGAAGTCAAGTTGTCCGTAATATAATGAGCGGAAGGATCTCCATCGCAGCAGAATGGATACCAATCACTGCCCGTAACTTCTTTATTTATGCGATGAAATAGCACTTTTGTGACGGATCCTCAGATCCAAGTTGAACGTGGGGTAGAAAGTAATCATATTCCAAACAATTCGCTCCCATACGAACCACACAAGTCAAATCTGATCGAGGTAGACAGGACAGCTCCCGGGAGGAATAATATAATCACCAATGAAGCCACGAAGGATGCATGTGATAGATGTTTGATTGCAGCCTTGCAATTTCCTTTCAAAGGATATGTTAAACGGTGACTTGCATTACTTTCCTTCTTGTTCCGCAAGTACGCAGACATGTACTATTTCGTTGCGAAGGGATTACACAACAAGCAGGCGGTCTCGTAATATATTAAGGTATAGCAAACCGGTGTACTCTACGGCAGTGACCCCAACCTATGTATCGCCGTGGACCGGTCGGCGTTCGCTAATTGTAACCCGGCCCGCTGAGGGTGTTTGTTGAACTTTTACGTTTTAGAATGTTTTGAGTGAGTACTTTTAATGTAATTGTGATTGAACATGCCTTGAAAATGAATGTGTCGGAGCACCATGACTGCTTCCACCCGCCAACGGTAGCGAGAACACCAACGACCGAGCAACGAACAATATGCACGCAGCAAGCCAAACCGGCCACCAAGCGTCTGTCTGTGCAACTCAATCAAAATTTTCAAATTAGGGCATATTACAGGCTATGCGGAAAGGCTGGCATTCGATCCGTCAATGCTGGTTAGTTCAAAAAGCGGGGGATCGATAATTTGCCTCACGAATGAAGGAAATACACAAAGTAAAGGCGAATAAGCGTAAGCTTCAGTGTCTATACAAGCTAATCACAAATGTGAGGCAAAAGTGCACGTATGCAAGGAACCGGAAGAGAGGGTAGGGTGAGTGGGACAAGGCGTATCCACAATTCTCCCGGAGCTGATAACATCCGACCAAAGGCTCTACAGGCAGTAGCTAGTGATCTAGCAGAACCACTGGCTGTTTTCTATCAGCGATGTCTAGAGGAAAACCTTATTCCACCAGTATGGAAGCAAGTGGTCATCACTCCTATCCATAAAGGAGGTAGCCGCACTGATCCTGCGAACTACCGTCCAATAACACTACTTCCCGTACTATCCAAAGTGATGGAATCAATCATCGCAGACGCGCTGATGCAATACTTGGAAAGCCACAATTTAATAGCCACAGAGCAACATGGCTTTCGTCAAAAGCCTTCGTGTAATACTAACCTATTAATTGCACGTAATAGCTGGACTGAAGCTTTCGATGATGGAGTTGGAGTCGATGTCATCTACCTGGACTTTTCAAAAGCGTTTGATCTTTTAGACCATCGAGTTCTCCTTTAGAAGCTTCGGAACTACGGCATTGGCGATCCAATCCTGAGTTGGATTAGCAATTTTCTACAAGAACGACGGCTAGTGGTGAGAGTCCGAGAATCATTTTCTCATGCATTCGACGTGACGTGTGGAGTACCACAAGGCTCGGTTCTTGGACCTCGTCTATTCTTGGTGTTCATTAACGACTTGGCGAGATCAATTACTTCCGATTTCCTAATTTTCGCTGATGATATCAAGATATAGCGAAGGATCAGAGGACCGGATGACCATGAACGGCTCCAGCACGATCTTAACACAGTGTCGAACTGGTCACCTCAAAACGCTTTACCGTTCAACGTAGACAAATGTCGCGTAGTACAATTACGCCATAGACATAACTACACCTATTCACTTGGGACAAACGAATTGCAGAATAGCTCCCAGGAACGTGATCTTGGTGTGATCGTACAGAGCGACCTCAACTGTTCAAAACAGGCTGAGGTAGCTGCGAAAAGAGGCAACCAGCACGTCGGCATGCTGCGAAGGGCATTCGGGAGATTTGACCCATCAATCTTCCCAATGATGCTTAATTCCTACGTGCGCCCGAATGTTGAGTACGCAATCCAAGCTTGGCAACCTTGGTTGAAACGCGACCTAGAAGCGATAGAGGCACCACAACGGAGAGCAATAAATAACGTGATGCGCCTGCGGTATCACTCTTACCACCGAAGGCTGAAGTTGCTGGGAATTTTCAGCGGACGTTATCGAAGGCTGCGCGGCGATCTCATATTAGCGTATCAGATATTGAGTGACCCCAACCACGTATGCCGCCATTTGCTGAAACTTAGCCACAACACGCAGCTCAGGGGTAACTGCTTAAAGTTGAAGGAACAATATAGCCGTCTAGTGGGTCGACGGAATTACTTTTCCCTTCGGGTTTGCAAACCATGGAACGCACTCCCAGACTCAGTTGTATCCTCTCTTACCCTGGATGTATTCAAAAAACGATTAGATGTTGCTCTCAGCTCCCAACATTTTGTTACCTAAGCTCCTCTGTTGTGGATTACGCCAAACATGTTTTCAACAGGACTAATGTATCAAATGGACCTAAGTGAGCGACCATATTTCATTTTCTCACTCCTTACCTCAACTATCACTGCGCCCCAGTGTCTTTCTGAATGTTTACGCGCGATATTTCTTTTTCATTTTACACTGATGTTAATTATCAAAGTATTCATCTCGGCAGACGTTCGATAGATGACCCAGACATATTTTAATTGCATCAAATTCACCGCTACCATCCTACGGGACGTGTCAAGCACTTGCTTTTATACCGTGATAAATCATTGTTCATTGTTCATTGTTCAAGGCTCACAAAACAACGGGAAGCGGTGAAGTATTCTTACCTGCGCTATAACAAAAGTAAAATCCAGTTAAACCAACAAACAGATATAAAGTGATATAATACGTCGGCTCACTAGAAGGCTAAATTACAGACAACCATGAGCGTGTTCCTCTGCAACGAGACCGCTCCATCTGGGAAAATAGGAGACAATGAAGCTTGATGTGTGATGCCAAAGTCCAGTAAATTTGATTGATTTCTTTCGGCTTCTGAAACAGCAGAACACCCCGCTTCACACAGCTAGGTTGTCAGAAATGGCAACCTGCCCTTAATTCACTATGAGTTTTATTGCAGAGCACCGGCGAGCTTGTTTGTCACGAAAGTATTATCAAGTCCGCCGTCATTTGCAAACTCAGTAGTGGTATATAATGTTGGATAGATGAGTAATAATAATGCGATAATCACATAGATTGTGAGTCTACAGTTCAGCAACTGACCTACAAATCATCGGAATCAACAACATTTAAAAAGTCATACACATATTGCTAATGTGATAATCATTATCCACCAGATTGTAAAATATAAAATATAGTGTTCTGTTGCTTCGCAATTGAAATAAAAGGAATTCAGTTTATCCATCACGTAGAGAAGATGTGCAAGCATGCCAATGTGTCCACTATGTATTGCGTAGGAGCGCGAAATATCAAATTC